AAGGGGGGAGATTCTCTTTGGTCCTCTTTGATTATAACAAAGTACCTTTCAAAACTGCTACTTTCTCTTCTCTCTTCCCCCGCCAAGACTGCGGAAATGAATGAGAAACTTTCAAAGATGGGAGAAAGCTCACTCAGGAATTTCACAATGGATACGGAATCCAGTGTGTATAATTTTGAAGGGGAAGACTACAGAGAAAAACAGAAGGTAACATCTGCATTTCTTTTGGAGGAAAGCAGTAAGTTGTGTGATTGAACTCTGTTTATTTAAGAAGTGTTGGTTAAAATACAATGTAATCTATGAACATAGTTTATAAGTTTTATTACTTATTTAATAAGTAGATGTAGACCTAGTTTTATATAAAACTTGTCGCTGGTCTAAATATTTTGCAAGGCTTAGTCCTAATATTTTTTGGGTGGTGGTATTTGTTTTATAGCTGGCATTTACGGAGTGGATTGAACCACCTAAACGAGAAAGAAAAGCCAATTATGCTGTGGATGCTTACTTCAGAGAGGCTCTGCGAGTCAGTGAGCCCAAAGCACCCAAGGTGAGTTGGCTAATTTAAAAAAAAATAAATTGTTCAACTGTGCATGATAAGTGGTTAAAGCTGAAAGTGAGAAATAGGGCTTTACTCATAAAAACTGCTCTATTCACTTTTATACATTGGGGAGGCAATTTAAATTAGAAAAATCCAAAGGACTTGAGAGACACTTCTGTGAGGAAAAAAGTAAGAGCAGGATGAAACTTGCAAGGTGTTAGGAGGGTAAGATCCAGGTGTTTCGTATTTTATTTTTATTGAAGCAGCCGTTAATTTTCCTTACCTGTGGAAGATTTCCTTGCTGGCACCTCCTCCCAAAAGACCCTTTCCCCTTTTCTCACAGGTCTTTTACTTGCAGAATTCTTCATGGTTGTACTTGTCCCTTGCATGGGGTGGCCTTTTTTTTTTTTTTTTTAAGACAGTGCATGTTAGTAACAGTAAAGCTTTTTTTTTTTTTTTTTTTCCCCCTTTATAAACTGAAATCACGTCTTACAAGCAGATTGAGAATGTGAAATGGAGTCAAATACAAACTTTGTATGCTTTTCAGGCACCACGGCCTCCAAAACAGCCAAATGTACAGGACTTTCAGTTCTTCCCTCCACGCCTCTTTGAACTATTGGAAAAAGAGATTCTCTACTACAGGAAAACAATTGGGTACAAGGTAAGTGGAGAATTCGTGCATTGCAAGAGTTTACTGCATCAGTAGCGGTATATGTACTTGTCCTGCCATTCAGGCTAATTTAAGTAAGTGAAATAAAAAATCACTTGGAGCTGAACAAATGAATAGGTTTTATTAGACAGGTGACGATTAGCAATTACCTGTGAAAAATTAATCAAATTTTACATAATGCAAAAACCTTTCAGGTACCTCGTAATCCTGATCTGCCAAATGCAGCCCAAGCACAAAAGGAAGAGCAGGCTAAGATTGATGAGGCAGAACCTCTTAATGATGAAGAACTAGAAGAAAAAGAGAGGCTTCTAACCCAGGTATAGTTGGGTCTTGAGCAAGACTGAAATCATTGTGTTTTACAGTGTTACGGGAACATTTCTTGGTCATTGAGTCACGTGCCATAGTTAACACAGCTGCAAATTTTGGTTCTGACTGAAAAGAGGTTTGACATTGGCCTGGGTACCTTTGACGAACGCGCACCAAATCAGTGCGCTGAGCTTCTACCGAAGCTGAGCTATGTTCTGCGTATTTTAAGCCCGAAGAGTAAGAGCCAGCCCAATGTCAGAGTCTGGCTTCCCAAGCTTGCAGTGGCTGTAGACTGTGACAGCTGTGGGCCCTTGCAGAGCTGCACGTGCTCCTTCCCACATTATTTAAAGCCTAGCTTCTGCCCAAGTATCACTCCCATGTTGGAAGTGAATCCTGCGGGATGAATAATCCCTTTCCCTGCACTATGACTGCTAGTGGATAGTGTCCCTCTCTTAAAGAGGACAGGAGCTGAACAGGTATATAACCTGGTAGCGTGTACATTTAAATCGTTTAAAACTGGTTAATGCCTGTTACACCTTATTTGGGTATTATATTTTCATACTGTATTTTGGCAAGTGTGGAATAACAGGACAAGATCTCTTGCTTGAGGAGTAGTAGTGCAGTGGAACAGTTCACTATTAAAATCAGTACGTCAAGTAAGCTGTGGCTAAATTCAAAACATGGCTGGCAGAACATTTTACTGCCAACTGTTTGTAAGTTTATTGCTAATATGAAATTAGCCTATTTTGGGAGCTGATCCCTTCAGCAGTACTATTTCTGTCCCTACTGAATATCAGCACGAGGTAGCGTTAGACCTTCTGAGGAAGGTTGACCAGGGAGAATGGCTGATGGTATCTGTGAGGCACTTGGTGAGCCTGTTCAGCAAAGCAAAACCATCATAGACACTGCTTGCTTCACCTGAGGGATTTTGCTTTTTAAAAAGTGATCCCAGGTTCTTTTTCTTTCAGAGAATATTGGGGGGGGGGGGCAGATTAATTTATGAGCTGAAGACTCTCTTATCCAAAACTAGTAGGTAGTTGGAGAACCAGTGCTAATCCTTATGCAGTATTTAGATAGTGAGACTACAGTGACTGGAGTATAAAAAGCCCAGTTTTTCTACTAACAAACATTAAACTGCAGAGAAAGCAGAGGTTTAATACTGTTGGAATGATGGAAACGTTACAGGCACTTTAAAGACAGGTATTGAAACCAACTTGGAGATGGACAAATCCTGAACTTCTGTGCAATGTTTCCTTTTGATTGCTATAAAGGGATTCACTAACTGGAATAAGAGAGATTTTAACCAGTTCATCAAAGCTAATGAGAAGTGGGGCCGTGATGACATTGAAAATATAGCACGAGAAGTGGAAGGAAAAACCCCAGAGGAAGTCATTGAGTATTCAGGTAACTAACTAACTTACTTTTTAAGTAGTCAGCTCTGTGAGTCCATACCTAATGCCACTTTCCTAGTTTGAACTGCCTATAACCATGGTAACATCTTGATTCTGAGAATTTATTACATGGCTCTTTAAGATTTCAGGGTAGAATTGTACTGATGGATTTGGGATCTACTGATCTAGATTTTACCATGTTTAGCTCCTGCATAATTAAAGCTGTACCAAAACGTGCATGTAAACTATTACTGGCCCACTTCAATATATCCTAAATCTACTCTTAACTGCATAGTGCTGTCTTCCATTCTTGTTAATGATTGCAAAAGGAAATGCTGAGAAACAGTACTTAGCTGGAGGGATTTCACTTCTCCTTGTATTCATTAACCAACCAGTAGTTTTCTTGAATGTGTATACCTTTATTACCTCATCCTCATCAAGAGTGGGATACAGTAAACATTTTGTGACTGAATATATGATGATCATTGGGTTTTGTAGCCTAAAAGTCCACTTGGCTACTTACCTCTGATGTCTCAGAAGTGCTCTCTACTGTAGGGCAGCTGCAGGGTACATAGCAGCTTACAGATGTGAAAAGCTCTTGTAAAAAAACCTTTTATTTAAACACCCAATTGTCTTTTAGACACTTGCTCTTGTCTTTGGCCATTCAGTTGCGCTCCTGCTTCCTTCTGTAAAAATGTATTGCTGTTATAGCAGTTTCCATTTTAAGAAGCTTTTTTGTTTGAAGAGATTGGCTAACAAAAACCTTTCTGGCCTCTACCGCACCTCGTTTAAACTGAAGACTCCTGTATCCACTCTCCCTTCAAAATAGCATTTGTACCACTGCAACACATGATAGCAGGAAGTGACGGTTCCTCATCGGTCAAAGGCATGCCCATTTTTATACAGCAGTAAGTTCTGGTAAAAGGAAGTAACATCTAACACCTTTTTTTTTTTTTCTTACGGTAAAATCCCCTAACTTTTACAATGCATGATAAGAAGCTAACCAATTGTTCTTTTCTTAGCTGTGTTCTGGGAAAGATGCAATGAACTCCAAGACATAGAGAAGATCATGGCACAGATAGAAAGAGGAGAAGCCAGAATTCAGAGACGAATCAGCATAAAAAAGGCACTTGATACAAAGGTATCCTCTTTGCTGTGTTTCTTGCTGCCTGTATTTCCCTGTGCCCATGAGGTGAGATGCAGGACTCCACGTCTAGCTGGTGTTACTAACGTGTGAAGACAACAGGTTGGGCATGGTATTTGCCTCTTTCGCATAGTCCCCAGCAGTGGCTTCCTATAGCTTTTCCATTCTATAGAGGTGCTGTCCTGGCTGATAGCTATGACGATAACTTAAGGTGTGGCCTAACCTCTTGTTCATAACAATCGTCTTTATCACAAGACAGATTGTTCATAGTGCCCTAGAACACGCTCCCAATAACTTACACGTGCTTTTTGAAGAAACAGAATTTCTTCTGGACCTGTGTAACTGAAAATCCTGCATATCTGTTTGGAGCACTCACTTACTTAAAAAGGGAAGACTTACCAAGCAGAGGAGGCTTTCGTTCTGATCTCTGTTTTGCCAACCAGAGTTTGGTAATGAACAGATTTGTAGTAAATTAAGACAGCGTATCAGAATCCTGTGCCCCCCCCCCTTCAGGTTTGACCAGTTCATCATCTCTTCTAGGGAAGTCAGGAGAGGAACAGTGTCTGACTCAGTTAACCAGAGCGCAGCTGAAACATGTGCTATAGTCTCATGTACCTTTTTACTCTGACTCTGATTTTGACCATTCTTGAGGATTTGTATGTTAGAAAGAATCATGGCCATTTGAAACCTGGCAGATCGTGACTATTTTTAAATGTAGTGACAGGTCTGCAGTCTGCTGTTAATCAATCAAAAGCTCACAGAGGTGTCTGTTGTCTAAAGCGGAATTTACCAGGTTAGATGGTATTAGTAAATGCACTGTCTCGAACCCACCGTTCCTTACATGCGGTGACTTAGCACCCGAGATCATAGAAGATCTATCTTTCTAGCTTGCTATTGTTCATCTGCCTGTTTTCATGTGATGCATTGCTTTCATATAAAACAGTCCCATGCCAACTCTGAACTATTTCTTAGTTTTATATGATCTTATTTGTTTTGTTTAGATTGGCAGATACAAAGCCCCTTTCCACCAGCTAAGAATATCGTATGGTACTAATAAAGGGAAGAATTACACTGAAGAGGAGGATCGCTTTCTAATCTGTATGCTTCACAAGCTAGGATTTGATAAAGAAAACGTCTATGATGAATTAAGACAGTGTATCCGAAACTCCCCACAATTCAGATTTGACTGGTTTCTCAAGTCCAGAACTGCAATGGTACGTATTAATCTGGTTTGCTTTTTGTTCCTGAATGCCTATGGCAACACAGTTCTACACCAGGCTAATTCAGTAGCTTCTGAAATACTGAGATACGTGCATGTGTAGAAGACATTAAATTTTTATAGGCTTTCCAACAACTGTAGTGGATGGCAAATGCAGTAAACTAAAAAGTCTTATGGGAGGAGAAATTCAAAATGCCAAGGTACTGTTTTTCAAAATCAACATGAATCTGAGTTAAATACAAACATGTTTTCAAAAGCAAACATCTGTGATCAGATCCATTCCTGTAACTGTAATCAGATCCAGTCGGTAACTATCAGAAATATACTTAATTCCCTTTTTGCTCTGCCAGGATATAGCAAAAAACTTTTACCTACTTATAGGCATTTCTAATATTCTAGTATGATTTTTACAGTAAGTTAAAAATGCTGCCTAATGTAGTGAGTGAGTATGTTGTGCAATTTAGGAGCTGCAAAGGAGATGCAATACTTTAATCACCCTGATTGAAAGAGAAAACATGGAACTGGAAGAAAAGGAAAAGGCAGAAAAGAAGAAACGCGGACCAAAACCATCTTCGGTAAGATTTAAAAAGGCATTTTTGAAGGCAGGGTGCTTTTCTAATTGTGTAGGAAAAGTGATATCTACAGTTATTCAAAAACAACAACAAAACCTTACAGGGCAGCGTTAAGAGCTGCTTAAAGTCCACGCCATCATTCAGCTAGTACCGTTGTGGACGTCAAACAAAGGACAATAAGCTTAGGTTCTAAATTGTACGCCATCATTCAGCTAGTACCGTTGTGGATGTCAAACAAAGGAAAATAAGCTTAGGTTCTAAATTGCAGCTCACATGCTTTGGAGCAGATTTGTTTGGCCTTTAATTAACTTTTATTCCTAAAGACATTTATGTATGTTTACCACTGAGGGACGCATAGGCGATGCAGACCATTCATTGCACTTTGAGAATGCTACAGCTCTGTTCACAAGTGTTCCTCTGTCAACTCTGCTGTCTGCCATCTCTTGCATGAAAATGGGCTTCTAGAGCTAGGATTTGGGAAAACAGCACCTATGCTTGACTAGTGTCTTTCTTTGCTGACTAAATTGAAAAAGTAGTGCAAAATACACAGGCCTGTTTTGTAAAGGAAATACCAACTTTACCCATTTTCTTGCCTAGATTTGTTGCTCAGGTTGTTCTTGCCTAGAGGTGTTGTATCAAAAAGTTACAAGTGCAACTTGGTTTGCACATGTGCAGAAATCAGTAAAGTTAAGAGTGGTGGAATAATCAGTTTCTGAGAACTATTCACAGAATATTTCAACAGGTGTTTAGAAATGCCATACCAATAAAAATTATCCTTATTTACTTCTTTATGCTTTTTACCTCTATGAATGCATACTCTTCCAGAATTGGAAGAATACAAAACAACAGCTATCCCGAGGAGGATGTGCGTATCTGCCATATTACAACATTTGCAATTTATCGTGTTTTAAAGCTGCCAGGGTGTAAATCATTTCCATCTGCTTTGACTTAAAACATATTGCTTGGTTTCAATCTTACTGTATCACAGTAACTTAGTAAAAACCTTACCTTACAGGCACAGAAGCGCAAAATGGATGGTACTCCTGATGGTCGTGGAAGAAAAAAGAAGCTAAAGCTGTGAACGCCGAATTTTTGTAATCGCTAAATTTAAAAAGTAGTTCTTTAATTTACGGGTCTTCATAAGATGTACTGTATAATGCTCAACTATTATGTCATTAAAGGACATCGGGTTCATCTGTTTACTGAACCAGAAACACAGTACTTAAGGTAGTTTCACTTTTTTAAATGCAACAGCTGTGCTGAATTTTTTTTACCATTAACACTTGAAGTAATAAATAGGCTTCATTTATTAATAAGGCTTCATGTGACTTTTTTTCATTAATGTTTCCACTCGAGTACCTGTTTAGTCATCCCCAGTTTAGTCATCCCCCAGTTTTTTTCTCCTCTTAGAGTGTTGTGAACACTTTTCCATTATGTGACCAATAGAGCTATTTAGTTGTGTCTTCTTGTTACCAGCCAAACCCCATTTCCAGGAATTCTGTGGCTCTAACCTTACTTTTATGGAACTTAATTTCACTGCACAAATATACTCTGGTTTTTGACAGTCGTGGAAAAGCCAGGTATTTACTTCAGGAAGTAATGATCAACATACATGCAGATTGGAACACAATTATAACATTTTTCTGCTTAAAATCTGTGCCAGAAGAAAGGCGTCAGTCACACTGAGGTTTGTACTTAATTAGCATGGCCTAAGGAGGGTAGAATTGTTTTTATTGGCAAACAGCTGAAAACAGATTGAGTAACCCTACTTTGCTCTTCAAAAAGTCAAAAGAAGTTGGGTATGTACAGCAGAGGTAACAGCCAATCTTGAATTGGCATGGCAGCCCTAGAAGAAATCAGTCTAACTGCTTACACTTTTTGTGTACCCTAAACAAAAATGCTGAAGCCTTTAAGAGCACCTCTTTTCACAAAAAAACCACCCAAACACCATCAAAAACCCAAACCAAAACAAGCCCTGATCATGCCTTTACCACTAGCCTAAATAAAAACCTTTAGAGGAAGCAGAAGGGAAAGATTTATTAAATAGCTGAGCAGCACTTCATTTGTGCTAATAATTCAAGTGCCAGTGTGCAGGAGGCAAAAGGAACTAAACCTTAATTTCCCAAATGGCATCCTATTAGTTATAGAAAATCCATTTTCTTTCAAGTAGAAGTAAAAAGTGAAGCAAAGTATTTAGATGATACAGCTTTAGATGATACAAGTGTGTTTCCCCCGTGTCATCTGGTAAAATAAGCTATGTTTTAGAAGTATTTGACTGTATTTTGATGCTATAATGTCTGTATCAAGCAAAGGAAGATGATAGGCAATTATTGTACAACATGGGAAAGCAGTCATTAGTATTGCTCTTAAGTACCAGAATCTGTTTCAGGATGCCTGAAAGCACTTAATGCCAGCACCTAGGCATTAACGTACTCTTTTTCTAGTGTGGCTTTACAATATAGTCCTAGTTCTCATTGATCACATGTAATGCTCACCTTACAAGATAATTGCAAGTACAGCCTTACCTGTGTGAGGCTCCTGTCCATATGGCTGAGGTCCTCATTATAATTTGAGACAAAACTGTTGGTGTCACTCATTTAAAAGAACACCATCATCATCTTTAGCTGCCATTCCACTACTACTATCCCCGTCTTCCTTCCACAGCAATAATTATTTAAAAAAAAAACAAACACCCCGACAGCAACAACAACAAAACCCCAAAACCAGAGGAAAGCTGGATACTGTACATGTAATCAAAACCAGCATCCTTCTAGGCATCAACCTTCCATGGTGGCTATAAGGCACATTTACAGCTGCATATCGAAAACATTAAAGAAAATATGTTCAAAAAAAAAAAAGAAATCAACTCCCATTGATGGAGTACTAGTTTGAATTCTATAAATTAGTCACTGGCACATGACCCTAGTACACCAACCCTGCCAGAAATAGCAGCCTATTACAAATAATTGAACCAGGATTAGAACTAGAGCAGCCAATTGTCTGCCAAGGAGTCAGCCAAGAGTTAGATTTGAGCGTGTGCTTTTTGGTGAAATTACATGCTAAAAGATGAGCCCCCAAGAAATCAGCTAGACGTGTGAACTGTCACTGCTGCTGTGGCGTGTGGTCACAGTTTCACTGCTGCTGGAGGGGCTGATGGGCACTTTGCTTTTCCCAGCAGAGGGCTGTTTCCTCTGCTTCAACAAAACAAGAGTTATGACCACAGTGAAGATCAGAATGAGCAGTCCTGCCAAGCCTCCAGTAATGGGTACAATACCGTTTCCAGAGTCCCCGCTTGTGATTTCCAGAACTGGCAGGCGATGCAGCGTGTCAGCTGGGACCGTGTCTTTCTGGATGATGACAGCTTTGTCGGAACGGTCAAGTGCAATATGCTGTATATTCGTGCCCCTGTTTTTGTCTGTGCCAATGTCTGGCATGAAGACTGGGGCGTCTGGGTTGGCTCTTCTGCTGCGTTTACCTTTAGCAGAGGACAACACACTGTGGTAGTCAAGACTTCTTTTGCCATTGTGCCTGCGTGCATTTTCCTTCGCTCGGACCGTGTAAATAGTGTGAATGTACCATTCTCGGCCAGCTGCCACCTTAAAAAACAAACCAAACAACAAAAACCAACACAAACCACCAACAAACCCCCTCATGCACATTTACTACAAACTGGAAACCACCAAGCACCAGATTCATCCAGACAGATGTCCTAAGTTTGCTGCCAACTATGTCTAATTCAAGTCAAAAGCAGAAATAGGCACGTGGAGATAGGATTAATCTTTTCTTCATGCAGACTGCTGAAGGAAGGCAGAGAAACTTACGGTCTAAGAGAGCCTATTTCTTTCTTAGTGTTAATGCAGAAAGGCTACTGCATTTACCTAACAAAACACCAGTCTTAATTTAGGCAAGAAAAACCCCGCTTCAGGAAACCAAAAAAAGACTTCAGGAATTTGAATTAATCTGACCTAAAGCAGGATGCATAGTTCTCTCTTTTTATTTCATAGCTTATACAAACCAATTATCTTCCCCACCCACCCTCCCAGCCCCAAGTTGCAAGAAAATCAACTCTAATTTCCTGGTTTTCTCCCATGTAAAGGGAGGTCATGGTAAGCTAAACCATGTGTCTTCTGCTCCCGGTCCCCTTGCTGTCTGCACTAACAGCTCGCTGTTATAAAGCAATGCTGTCATTGTTTCTACACTGTTAGGGAGAGGGAACAAAGTAAATGTGTTGCTGAAGGCCATCTCTGACTCGCATAGCGCCCATGATGAGCTGCATGGTCTGTTCTCCACGCCAGATGTCTTTTAGCATGAAAGAACTTCTGTGATTGATTGACTTACCAGACAACTTACCTGGAAGAGTGGAGCAGATGACATGCTGAAACCATCAGAGCCAGGCTGTTTTACTAGAGGAAAAGCATCTGCATGATCAGCTGCTAATGTAGCATGAAACTCCAGGTTTCCAAAGGCTCTTGCTTGTGTCTCTGGTTGAGCTTTATCCTAAAGGAAGTTTAGTATTTCCAGACTCATATGGAAATCAGGGATTTAAAAACGCATGCTAGCGCAACTCTTTGGTTACATACCAGGATCTTGAATCTGTACAAGAGGGAAGGCGAGTCAGCCAGACATCCGTATTCCTGATTGTCCGGGCTGTACTTTGGCACGTACCCATCGGCACCAGTGCAAAGGAACACCTTCTCGATGTTGCAGCTGAAGGAGTCACCGAGATTCTGAACTGGATCCACCATCACTCGGCCATAGATTTCAGATCCTAGGAAAGCATATTAAGACATTTTACATTATACCAGTCAATTTAAAATTATGAAATCAACTTATTATCAAACCATTGTTCTTAAAAGTTCTCAGGACAGGAATTATCTGGCTTTAAGTGTATTTCCCGTTGCACATGAAGACAGTATGTTCCATGACTGTTAGTACTAATTTATCATGGGTTTTAGTCTTATTTTCTGATGTGTGGTTCTTAGATGGCGCAGCTCTTTTTTAAGCAAGTTTTTCCCTTCTCTTCACTAGAGGGCAACCCATATTCATATATAAGAAACTACCCAACCTGCTAGCATTATATCAAGCAAAATACAGTTCTTAACAGGACATTTGGGGTTCAGACTGACAACTCAAATAAGGGACCAATTAAAACCAAAATTATTTCAGGTCCAATTCTGTCATTACCAGGAGTTTCCCTGGAACCTAATAACAGCTCCAGTCAGTGAGTGAGCACAGTGTGAAAGCACCTGCCCTGGGCCAGAACTCAGGGAAAAAAAAAAAAAAAAGAAGAATGAGTCTGAGCAGCTTGGCTGAAGCCAGCTGCAGTTCTTGTGCATCCAGTCTGCAATTGAGAACAGCTGCATGACCAAGTCAAGGAGCCTCCAGTGTACAAGTATTCAATTCCTGCATTTCTGACTAGAATAACCTAAGCACTGAAATTACTTAGCCCCCTCAAAATGGGGCAAAAAGTTCTAGTGTGGGCAGCTTCAAAGCAAAACAACCAGAGTGAGGGGAATGTGTGATTATGCAGGAACCGAGCAAGAGTTTTCAGAACTGCGGTTTCAGGTATATGCACCTAAATTCTGCCCTTGGAATGCTTTTCCTCTCGGAGCCCATAAACAGAACCAAAGCCTGTTTCAATTACACTAAATTATATCATATTTTAGTGCTTCTGTATTTTACTTTTCTGCAGTGGAAATACATAGACCACGTAGGGGTTATAAAACTAGAAAAATATATATTCGGCTCTTGTTAAAAGTGGTTCTGTTTTAGCTTTCATAATACGCTGAATGTACAATTGCCTTTTTACCTTAGGTAAAGGCTACATCAGCTCCTTCTCCAAATCCCATTGATCCATCAGATATCCAAAGTTCCTTTTTGGACAGCAGAAACATCTGAGTATTTAGACTGAACTCTGCTGCCACTGGGTCACTGACCTGTGAGGAAAAGTGAAATTAAATTACCAAAAAAATGCCTTGGTTGTAGCTTTACAATGATTGTACTGATGTGCTGATCAAACCTTTCAGCAGTACACAGCATTTACAGGAATCCCTCCTACGTACGTACATACATACACACAACAAACCTCCCGTTGCACTTCTCATCCTGACCCATTAAAATACACAATTGTAGTGCTTTATTTCAATGTTGCCCAGTAAAACAGCAAATCGTATCTGTTTCCTCAGATACAGGACAGCAATGTATCTTTTCAGTGACACTTGCAGAAGTTACTGGGAGAACAGGGCTGTGGGCAAGAAGCCAGTAAAACTAGATGAGGACCAGAACCTAGCTCCACAACTCCTTGCCCCTACTC